TGTGTATGTGGGAACACCCATGTTTGGATGCTTGGCATAGGTTAATGGTAATTTCATTGGAGTCATCAGGGATATAGTTGTATATTCCTGAAATTACCTCTAAACACCTAAAACAGCATTCCCTAAAATTTTAATTGTTTTCTTACATTGCCCTATATCGCTCAAACTCGCATTGCTTAAATTGCAGATTTTGCTTAAATCACCTAAAACTGTAGCCTCCTCCGCAGGCAACTCTTGAAACACATGAGGGATAGTCAGGGATAGTTGATTTGATAGTTACAGTTTAAACTCGCATTATCTCATTATCGCCCCAGAGTAGGGCCTACTATTGCCATTGCTTTTTAGTCCCCAATACTTCAGTGAGTCATGCTTTGGAAATGACAATAATTTTTTATTACCCAACCCTTGAGTTGTTTTGTTTTTCATTTACCCAACCTTTTACTTACTCAAAATTTAGTTTACCCAACCCTTTTCTCTTCGGTGCCACCCCCCGCCATAAATAATGACCGGTCCCTAACTTGCTTCCTTTTCAAGATATTCAACTTTGTTTCATATGCAAATATCACCGGTGTGACATCACATCACATAATGAGTTTTCAGAAAAGTATAGTTTTCTTGACAAATACGTATCTAAAAAACTTAAAAATTGCTCTTGTATGTGTATTAATTTCATAACTGGTAATTAACCCTCTGTATTTGTTTGTAAAAATATTTTATCAAGGTAAAATATTGCGTTTTCAAAATGTCATTATGCGATGTGATGTCACACCGGTGATATTTGCATATGAAACAAAGTTGAATATCTTGAAAAGGAAGCAAGTTACCAAAATTCTATAAAAGAAATTATTAAGTCATTTTAAGTGATCTTTACAATGCAATCATAAACATTTGGGGTGAAATTTCGTGTCATAGGCACTTTAACGATCTGTCCTAGTGTATAGCGGGTATAGTGCCAATAATTAACTCGGAAAGGTGCGGATTGTTAGGGATATACAACTACCTGAAAAATACAAGGAGAACTTCGACGTTTCGAGCGAAAGCCTTCCGAAACGTCGAAGACGAAGTTCTCCTTGTATTTTTTCAGGTATAGTTGTGTCCTTATCAATCTCGCAGCTTCTTAAAGTGCATGACTTTTACGGTATTCTCTGCAAACTGTGGCCCTGAAACTGCTGCTTCGATTGCTGTGGTAGAAACAGCGAGAGTACTTTAATCGATGTAAGCAGGAACTCATTATTGGCATACTGCAATTTGTAGATTGTGCATGCTTTACGAATCAGAAAAGAAATGGGTGAAGGCTCAATATGCGACTGTGCTTCGTGCTCGGTCGAACTGTAGCAAAACTATAAGTAGAATCCAGTGGCAGATGATATTTGGTGATAAGCCGCGCATATAAAACAGGTATATTACATGAAACGTGTATTGCAGCTGTATGCCTCCCTAAACGACAAAAGTATACACTCGCTACCTTATCTACAATAGAACTACGAGTCTACGCTGTCGTTCATGTCATCAAACATGTTCCATTGCGGCCGATTGGCGTAGTTGACGCGCAGTTGTCATCTTGATTAGGATTATATACGGCTTACACAGACTTTTCTCCTTCCTCATTTTATTTGCAAAACTTTAACAGGCTTTGTCATTATGCAGTTATCCTCGGCAATTTAATTCTTTGCAAAGCTTTCGGTACACAAATTTTTACTACATATTGCATAATGTATGACATATATATGTCCCGCCTATAGTTATATAATTATATTGATTGAACACTTTTATAAAATGTCTATATATATTTCTATATTATATACTTATATTCTATATTTTATTCGTTACAGGTTAATAGTTTTATATATTCCGATCAGGTGGGTCATTAAGTAGAGGCAAATTCAACGTGTCCACGGGATTAGTTTTATAGTAGACCAGACGATAATTGTCTCCGAAATTGTTATCCCAATAGTCTTTACCACAAACCCGATAACGAATTGCGAATTCCATTTTGCGGTCTGTGTTTGTCTTTGGCGGTTGAATATGGAAGAAAAACGAGTCTACATTATCAGTACTGGCCCCTGGTATATACCTAGCAATCTCTTCCTGACAAGACTGCCACGCATCAAAACTATACCGCACAGCTACGCATTTTTCATATGCCATGTTCTTCACACAAATTCTGCCATAGATTCCGAAAGCATAGCAAACTATCTTTTCCAAGCAAACGTTTGTGTTGTTAACTTTCACAAAAAGTTCTTCATAAGAGATGTTTGAAGTAAAGTTAAGCAGTTGGGCCGGTTGTTCAGGGTCATTTCGCTGCTTGTTGTCTTTGAGACGCGTTCCGATTGATGTACGTCGCGTCACTGGAGGCGATAAGTTCTCCTTAATGAAGAAAAATGTCGATGTAAGAGCTAGGCCTTTCGAGTCGGCAAACGTTACAGACTTTGAGCGTCTCTTTATAGCCTTGTTTGCAATCACATTCGGTATTTCCTTGTTGTCATCTGTGAGGTCTTTTGTGAGCCGACAGAACACGTCTACAGCACTAACTACCATTGCAACAACTTGGCAGGAAAAATCTGTTTATCTGTTGCCTACTTCACAGGAAACTGTTACATTTCGATTTCCCTTCTATAATGACAGCAAGCGAGTTGTTGCTAGTAGCTTGCCTAGCCGTAACTGAAGAGCTGCATGTTTTTGACATATACATATGAAGTGTCCTCAGAGTGTAAATAATACTTCAGCGTTGAAATTTATTCATGGGAATTTAAATACCGAGTTTGGGTATCCGCCGTGGTAAAGAATTCAACCAATCACATTAACGCGACGTGCTCGCCTACACGTCCAGTGTGGCAAAAGAAAAGTAAGAATGATTGGAATATAATATACGTCAATATGCGACAGGGGGCATATTTGTGTATTATAACTTTACTTAGCTACGAAATTATAAATAGTATAATTTGGTGCATAATTACAGCATGTATTCGTGCCATGTATTTTTCAATTTTGATTCAACAGAATCCATTGACCATTGCCAACTGCGAAAACTTTTCCCTTTATATTTTCTCGCCGATTGTTTCTGAGTACACAAGCTAGGTATTTGATAGTGCTGAATATAGGTGACAGGATGTATGCAACTTTAATGAAATTTGTAGACCAAGTATCGTCGGTATACGTAAGGGGTTGGACCGGGTGATTATGTGGGTGGGTGTCATACAGAGAAGGAAAAATAGTATCCAAAAAATTCTTGAAGATAGTTTTAATAACCAGTGACCGGAGACGTTGTGTCATGGACGTAAGACTGTTTTTAATACTTTCGATTCACAACATATATGATGACATCCTCATTGTAGCCTGAGTATCACTATCAGGCCATACTTTCCCTTCCTTACTGAATGTGGGTGGAAAGGAATTGAAAACAGGGTGCTTAATGTGCCGGCGTAGGTAGTGACAAAAACACCACAAAACTTCGGATTTAATAGTAGGATTACCATTTCAACTACCTGAAAAATATAAGTGAAACTTCGATGTTTCGAGCGAGGGCCCTTGAAGACCGCCCTTCAGTTTGTTGACGGCGAACCCTTTTATTAAGGCTGGTTATTAAAAATATAAAAATATCTTCAACACATATCTTTGAGACGTTGTGTCATTTGGTTTCAGTTCTGCCCAAATTATACGGAACGAAAATCTGCATACAAGCACGTTTTAACACGTACTAGTACACCGAAAAAAGCGATACCCCGTGGTGTAGTCACAAGATTAGCATACAGGGTGATCACGTTTCTCCTGGATTTGATTTCATTGCACAAGTCAGGTCAGGCAGATGTAAACTTTACAGTTGATATGTACGACCAATAATATTATCAGTCGATAAGACTCGATATTATCACGAGATCTAGAGCCCAGTGACGTTCGTAATGGTGAAATGAATTAACCACTGATCTGAAGAGTAGACTGGATTGATCCTTACGATTTTGAAACCAGAATATTTATAATGAGATGAGATTCGGACTGAAGCCGGACCTACCTAAAATGATCATGTTTTGTTATTGGCTTTCAGAAACAAATCAGAAACAAAAATGATCATTGTTCGTGACTCGTTCTTTAGAAAATTTCTATAGTTTTATTGTCTTTCATTGTTATAATCAACTCAAAATCTCTGCGAATTGGATCGCGACGTATTTAAATCAGCTACAATATCAAGGAAATGTCCTTTCCTATGTAACTTGAAAGATATAGATTCCCACATCTCTTGTAGTGAGTTTCAGAACGTTTTATTATAAACTGGATAATTAATTAGATTTGTGGCAGACCTCATAAGTTATTCACGAGTAAACTTAAGATGGAAGAGAGGCCGCTGTTGGGGCGAAGCAAGTGGCTAGGGGGTCCGGGATCATGTTCCCGCGGGAACATTTTGAAATCTAGAGTCCCTGAAATGCGATTTCAAGCCTGATTTTGGTGGTGAAATTTTGCAGAATTCCGAAGGTTATAAAGTACATCAAAGACATCATTTTTTACCAGATATTTCTCTTCGGAATTGCATGGAAACCCTCTGTGCCTGATGCATGGGGGAGAAGGTCCCAATGTGATTTTGATCGGAAATTGTGCATTTAGATAATTCTAGGTTCTCCATTTCTCGCATTCTCAAAATGGCATTAGTCCATTACTTTTCATAAGATACAGAATAAGTTTGAGAAGAAATATTCATGCTATGGTAATGACATACATGTTATTTTGAAAATCTAAACTTAACTCCATTCTTCTTGGAACAGTATGTACAAACATCATCAAGTTCTTCCAGTAAATCGTCGTTGTCGCATGTTGAGACTTGGTCAGTTTTAGTTTCGAGTATGTAACAATAGGGGGGGGGGGGGGG